GTATTCTCTTGTTCCGATTAACCCAGCCAAATCTTTTTTCTTGTTTTGTATCTATATCTACGCCGGGATCCGGAGTCGAGGCTGATCCTCTTGCTGTAGTCCTGTGTCTTGGATCCTCTATCCCGAGTTCTGGATTAAGTCGTGGACTTCGGGTCGTGGCTGAACCTGTCTCTGCGGTCCTGCCTTGGGTCTCGTCATGCAGCTTCCCTGATGGCTCCCTCAGGATTGTAGCTGACATCCTCGTGGATTCATCTTCTTATTACAGACACATGCATTTCCTAACATTCGGTCTATATGCTGTAAAATGTATTATCTCTTCGATTTACACACGGCATCTATTGCACATCTGTCCGTCCTGGGAGAGGGATCCCTCCTCTGTTGCTCTCCCTGAGGTTTCTCCCATTTTTTCCCCTTAAACTGTGGGTTTTCTCTGGAAGTGTTTCCCTGTACGATGTGAGGGACTAAGGACAGAGGGTGTCGTTTTTCTCATACTGATATTCTGAACAATCTGTGCTGTTGTATTTGCTGTAAAGTGTCTCTACTGTAGGCTAATTTTATTATATGTACAGCACTTTGGCTCGACCAAAAATCGTTTATAAATGTGCTATATAAATAAAACTTGATTTGATTTGATATAAGTGTCCTACACTAATAATACAAAGTTATTATGGCATTATATGCTGTGTGTACCTTGTGTACACCGCCTAGTGGTTAAAGCACGTTATTGAATAATTTTTTTAATATGTTATATTTGATGAAAAAAATATTAAGAGTACATACTTTCATAGGGGGAAGGTAGAAGGTCAATGATAGAAATATAGAATATATAAAATCAAGAAGATACTATAAGTGATCTCTACAATCAAACAGTTTAGTGCCGGATGTACAAAGATATTAATAGGAGGATGTGCAAAACAGAAAAACTAATTAACCTTTATTTAAACAATAAAGAATACTTTAGGTTAAGGTCTTGTTTTAAATAAGAAAAAAGCTTTGGGGGTATCTACAGATAAATATTAAGCCTGACAAAGTACTTAATGTCTAATATATTGCTTTCCTGCAATGTTAACTATGTTGAAGCACTTATTTTAACTGATATTATACACATTAATTATACTCTTATGTATGTATATAGTATAAGAAATGTGCAGAATGACAGTTTAATGGTGGAGGTATACAAACATACTGATAGATGTCTTGTAATGCACTGTTGAGGAACCTGTGACCCAAGTTTTTCATTCATTGCATAACTACGCCGTAGTTGTGTATATGATATGTCAATAAACCTTTGAAAATCTTGAAATCTTGAAGGGGATGTACAAAATAGCAATTATATACAGTCTTTAATTAACTATTAGTAGAGAATAACGAGTAATGAATATGCTTTATAGGGATCTGCAGATAAATGTTTATTCTTCTCAAGCACCAACTATCAAATATCTCTCCTGATTGTACTTGACAATCACCTTCCCTGAATTTTACTCAGGTGTAACTAAAGCCTGATTTAAGGGTTGTTTATATTTCACATCATTAATCAGAATCTGCAAAGTAACTCAAATAAATGTAGTTGAGTAAAAATACCAGGTTAACCTCTGAATTGTAGTGGAGTAGAATTACAAAGTAACAATGAGCTGTCATGTGGGTATATATTAATACAGCTAAAGTGTCCAAAACCCCTCTAAACCAGCCAACCATTCCAGACTAATATCTACTGGCTGGTCAAAAATCAGCTTAGACCTAAATAGTTTTTTTCAGCAGGCTTTCCTAAAACAATCCTTGGTAGGGATGGGTACCGAGCCCCGCTATTAACCGGCCCCGGGGCGGAATTATTAAAGACCGTGGTACCGTTAAGCTCCGACGTTATCGGTCTTTTTATCGGTACTGGAGACATGTAAAAACATTTTTTATTTTCGATCAGACCCCCCCAAGATTTGGGGGATTTTCATGATCTAGTTAGGTGATAGATAGATAGATGGATAGATAGATGGATGGATGGATAGATAGATAGATAGATATATAGATAGATAGATAGATAGATGGATGGATGGATAGATAGATAGATAGATATATAGATAGATAGATAGATAGATAGATGGATGGATGGATGGATGGATGGATAGATAGATAGATAGATAGATAGATAGATGGATAGATAGATAGATAGATAGATGGGGTGTGACTGTACCTGCAGTTCCTCCCTGACTTCCATCACTTTCTCACTCACTATTTCTCTCTGCCTGTCCTGTCTCTTCCTTACCAAAGCTGAGCTTCGACTGACGTAGTATTTTCATTATATCTGAGTCAGTGTAAAAAGAAAACAATATAATGTTATATCTTCAATGTTTTACTGAAGTTGAAATGAAAGAAAAGCGTTACAACGTTTGTTAAAAGGTAATCCTTCTGACATTGGATGAATGTAATTAACTGTAGCTCTCTAGCTAGTTTATTCACGCAATTTAAACCAAAGTATAGCCTATAGCGGCAATATAAGTTAGTGTGCATGTTGTCGGAAGTCCACTGACTAACGTAGAGCGTTCACACAGGATCTGCTGCTCATATGATGTCCTCTGAGGAACAGAAACACAAGCAGCCCGCTGGACTCAGATCTCTAAATACTTCATCACTCCTCCGCTGCTCCGCAATTATGCCACATCAAGGTGGAACGCTCTTCCCACAACTGTAAAGGAAAGTAAAACTATACTTGCCTTCAAAACCTCTCTTAAAGAGCACCTTCGGGGGAGAGCATTGCAAAACTGGCCCCGGTAATGGTACAAATCTCAACCTGTCGTACAATGGACAGCTTCACCCCCCCCCATCTATGTATATACCCGCATTTTAGACTCTGTTACTAACTGTATATCTGTAGACTTGGTATGTCTTAAATGTCCGGTTAGGATGTATTAGAACGAAATCTAAAATGAAAATTGTAAATAAGCAATCTGTATGTAAAAAACCACCTGTATGTAAATTGTAAATAAGCCATCTGTATGTCAAATATGTCTTATATGTCTTAAATGATATGATGAATTGGAAATGGGGGACCCTGATGTAAACAAGACGAAAGCCTTTCTCTGGTCTGCATCCCCTTAACAATTGTATGTTTTGAGCTGTACTGTACTGTACCCAATATACAAGCTGTTAATAAACTTTTCAATCGATCAATCAATCCGGTCCAAGTCCGAGCTGCGGAGGTTTGTTGATACATGTCGTCTTCTTCTGTTTTCTTTAATCGAGGCTACTTAGTTATGCAGCGCCCCCATCGTCAGTAAATGAAAGTACTCCAAAGAATCCCTTTTAGTGCAGTTATTTCACAAGTTTTGTTATATACACAGCTCGGAAATAATTACCGAGGTCCGGACCTCGGTGACCTCAATGGTGGATACGGCCCTGTCCCCATCCACGAGTAACTTTTCCACGTCAGGTGTTATGTATGCTAGCAACAACACACGGAGTTAACTCAATTATACAAACATGGGTTAATGATTAGAGGTAACTGAGTAATTTATTTTGTTAAAGTTTCAGCTATTCTGTTTACAATTCTGTCATCAGATTATTTAATACGAGTTGTTAAAACATTGTTGTTTCTTTTGATGTGAAATATTATGTATTACATTTAAATAAAAAGCAAAGTTAGTTTTGTTCACAATTTGTTTAGTTAGTTTACCTTGTTTTTTTCTCCAAAAGAACCGATAAAAGGTTAAAAGACCGGATCGATAAGCGGTATCGATAAAAGTAGTACCGTTAAAACCTTAACGATACCCATCCCTAATCCTTGGTAATAAACATCTAGATGTGTACCACCTTTTCTCAGCCTATTTAAAACATAATAATTTACACATAACATTACTGCTCATAATTTTCCAAAGCGTTTATTTCTATTAAATGTTTTTTTCCTAGCTTTCAGGCCGTTCATCACCATTCCTTTTTAACAGGCAATATCAAAAGACTTGCAGAGAAGAGACAGACATAACGCTAAGTTTTTTTTAGCAGAGATGTAGGTGATAATGTTTAAGTCTGAACAACCAGGCAGGGCCGGCCCTTGGCACTGGCGAACTAGGCGGTCGCTGTAAGGGATGAAAGTGGGGGATGTTGACTTATCAGGCGCCCGCAGCTCACAGCCAAAGTGAGAGAGAGCCTCCGAGCGAGCAAGAGAGAGTACCTCGCATCGGTACCGCGGATTGCTGTTGGATTGAGGGTGATAACTACAGCTCAGTGAGGTAAAGGACTCTGAGTGTTTAGATAGTTCACTTTAGTCTAAATTATCTCAGTGGGTCTCACACGGTTTGGTCACAATTTATGTAAACACATATTTCCAAGGCACACCTTTATAATTATTAGGACAGGTTTGAAATCATTCCAATGTATACTATAGGGCAGTAACCAAAAATATCGTTTAAAACAGGAGATATTTAAAAATATGCATGAATAAATAAATGTTAACTAGGTAAAATAAGATATGAATGAACAACAAATATAAAATACGTCACATTTATTTGTTATTGGCTATGGTAGGTTATTGGTTATGTTCACATACTTATTTGGTTATTAAAATGTAAACCGATCTTTTTCATATGGGTGTTTTAGAGTTGTACCCCCTAGATCTAGTCTCTAGTCTAGTCATTGTGTGCTCAAAGTGCACCAGATTGAAGCATTTTACTTTAAAATGTTAAAAAAAAATCTTTCCGAGGGGTCATACCCCCGGACCCTCCTAGAGGATGTGACGTCCACCCCCAATTAAAACATGTTCATGCAATAATGAATACATTTGAAACCTTGTTTATGTATACAACCAACATGTCAATACGTTATATTTCACACAGGCTCCGCCCTCTACTGGACTCTATGGGTACTACTCTCTATCATGCTGTGCGTGCTTTCACCTACTGAGTTTTACGTAAACGTAGCCGGCCAATCGGGGCGAGCCTACCTGAATGCGCGCGCAGGCCCACAGTATATAAGGCGGCTACACCCGCAGCGCATTATCCTTTTTCTCTTCAGCGAGCTGACAACCGAAGAGTTTAAAAACGAAACGAAGAAGATGAGGAAGATTTTTCGCTGTCAGACGTTTCTGGCAGCGTGAGAGAGGGGCCACCACGCAGATCTGTTCGACAGGATTTTCCGCTGGTGATGGCCATGGCAGCGGAGCGTGCGGGCCTGTCGGTTCCTCCGCCGCTACCACCCAGACCGGTGAGCCAACTCCGTCAGGGTTTTTATGGCCCGGCCCAGCCGGTCCAGCCGACTCGCCCCGGCTGCCGGACGTATGGCAGTGTGTGGAGGCGACGTGGCGGCAACCTCTCAGAGCGAGAGCTGCGGTTGCTTTGATTTGCAAGATAACCGGGCCACAAAAATGCTGTCACTTATTATTGATAACATCTAAACAATACCCTACATCGTACCTGCGTAATGTATGGTTCCTGCCTAATGCATGTTGTGTTTCCATGTGAATAATAAAAGGTAATGTACCCCCATGAGAAGAAAACCCTCTTCTTGGATCCACTTGGAGAAGGGAAAGGCAAAACGAAGGTGTGCCTGCAGTCTACAAGGTAGGCTACATTTGATACAGTGTACTAGTTCCGGTGTTGTATGAGTATTTTGACAATGATGTGCTGCATCTTGACACATACATACTATCTACATACTGTAGAGCCTTTATGAGGATGAAAGGCTGCAAGGTGTCAAGGTGGACATGCAGCACCCTCCCCCATAATCGCCAACAAGACAGCACATCCTGTGGTGTCCTGGCCTTAAAAGTGAGTGTGAAATGCATTTAGCCAAACATTACTCTCAAACTCAAATTCAGTAGCAATTAGACTGAATATCTTGACTTGCTTTTATACATCTTGATCAAAGATGTATTGAATTGTGTCAAACTACACTGTATTCCATTTGAGGGTAAAATCATAGACCATGCAGTCCATATACTAATCAAGGTTCTCTTCAGTTTGCAGAGAACATTTGACTGGGGGAGGCAATTGAGTTTGAAACCTCACAGAAGGCAGTGCACGAGCTGAGGCTGGACATTGCTACTTCTCTCCTCAGAGAATCTGGTTTGTTACCTTTTCTCAACATTGTCAATGACTTCATGTAGTTACTTTTATTAATAGTATCTCATAAGTATGCATCAATAACCTAGTATATTAATAATGTGCCATGCAAATTGTTGTATTGTATCACTGCTTGGACCATTGGTACTGTTGGGTTAATATTGACCAGGGACATTATCAGGCTTTTAAAAGCAACACAGTGGCTTAAGTATAGATTAGGGTAAATAGTCACTACATACAGTATATTGTGTATCTCAACTCCAAGCAGATAACATATGAAGCATCGCAGGCGTCTTCATCTGCAATTTCATATAGGCTACACACATCACACTCTAACACACCCTTTCAATTCTGTGGTTTATTTAAGATGTGAGATTTCCCCATCTTCCTCCTTTCAATGTGCTCATTGGTGTGTATTACTTTTAACTGATATCCTCAGTTAATTTTGACCTTGAACTTATTATAATCAAAGCTGTAAAGCTAATACATGTGATGAACAACAAAAGAACCATGAGAACCAAACTTAAATTGATGCGTGCAGTGCGAAAGAAGTTTTTGGATGTTTTGTAATGACATTGTGCAGGTTCCCATTCTAAAGAGGGTAAGGAGAGAGTGAAAGAAGGAGCAGATGGCTCTTCTGTGCTCAGATTTAATCATTTAGAAAATCTATGTGTTTGTGTGTTTTGCCTTTTCTTCACACAAAATAATAAAAAACCACAACAAATGTGTCCTTATATAATTGACCTTTTAGTCAAAAATTGGAATGGGTCACCTTGACCCCAAATCTGCAATGTGGTTTATCTGAAGATATTGATTACTTGTTGTCTCAACAGATGATCTAAGCAGGCTTTGCTTTTACTGCGGGATGGAGGAGCAGGATGAAGAACATTGGGTAATTTCCTATTGCACATTACAAATAAAGAAAATTAGCAGAAATATGTTTCCAGACTTTATCAACATAACATTTACGTTGGTAATTGCTACTATATTTGGCATCTTCAGCATTAACTGATAAAGGATTAATGTTTTGCTTGTTTTTCCATACATTTTTGTTGAAAATGTATTTCTTTCTCATAACACAACATTTATGTTTTTGAAAGATTTCGATTATTGAAGGAATGGTTAGAATGTTAGTGGGAAATACATTAGAGATATTCTGTTATCATAAAAAAATCCCATAATGCATACCTTACATAACAAGTATTGTTTTCTCAGATTTGCTGTGACATTTGTCAGCGGTGGTACCACCACCAATGTGTACAAAGGCCTCCAGTGGATCAACCGTACTTGTGCCCTGGATGCACATAATGCCCCGAAGGAACCATCATTAACTGTCCACTGTCATTTCAACCAATGCAACTATTGTTTGGCCTGTCATAAAATGCACCCCACCCCAAAAGAGGTTTCTATGAATCCCACCCTCAAGCATTTTTCAGGATATGGTTCTAGGACTGGTACCAATAAATGGAGCAAGTTTCATGAATGTGACACTTTTATTTTGTAAGATAGCAAGGGGGGGCATATTGTGATGGACAGGCCTGTCATAAAATTACTTTTCGTTTTAAACATCGTTTTAAGGTGTAAACCTATGGTGTAAACGTGTCATTTAGAAATGCGCGTTCCCGTGACAAGGGGGGCATTTCATGAAGGGGAGGCATAATGTGACACAACACCGGCATGATGGGGTTGCTCAAGTTAGAGGGCCAACAGGACTCAGCGTGTCCCGGTGTGCCCCCCTTAGATGAGAGCCTGGCGGCCCATCTGCTTCCCCAGGCAGCTGGCTGGGGAGAAGGCCCCTGCCCCCGCTGCCTCGTGATCGTGAGGCGCTGGAGTATCTAGATAAGATATTCCGCCTCGGGGCTCAGATGGCCGCGGCGGCCAACAACCTGGGCGTGTTGGGGGTTTCACTAATTACCCCGCAACCAGAAACCTCCGCCCCCTCGCCTCAGGGCGATTATACAGAACGCTGCATCGGACAGATTAGTAATCTGGTGAACGGTGTGGCGGCTGCAGCTGGCCGTGTGATGTCCCTAGCCACAGTGGGGTCACGACATGTGTGGTTAGGGCTCACGGCATTGTCCAGGTCGGACCGTAACGATCTCCTGGGAGCCCCCATATCCACGGCAGGGCTCTTTGGGTCGGTTACCGCGGTAACACAGCGCTTTCGCCGCTTGGAGGAGGAAAGAGAGCAGCTCAGCCGGATGCTGCCGCTGGCTCTCCCTCAGCGGGGCGAGCGCGGACCGACAGAGAGAAGGAGAGACAGGCGCAGGGCTGTGGCTCCGATCCCGGAGAAGTCCTGCCCCGAACCCGCGTCAGCAGAGGACCGCGGGTTGGGGTGCGCCGCCCGCTCGGAGTTGACGGGCGGCGGGGGGTAGCGTCCCGGTGGAGAGGGCTCTCTCCACCCGGGACCCGAGGATGAATCCTGCCTCCAATATTTATGATCCCACTGTGTGCATAAATAACAATGATTGCAATTATTCCGTTGTGAGAGTCATTCCTTTCCACAATCCCACACTTCATGGTAATGCCTGTACAGATTCCCCCTTCGCCACCCCAGTTGTGATTCCAGTACAGGAAGCAACCAGCGGGTGCGCGCATGTGATAAACCGCAGGAAGCATCAGAATGCTATGCGGGTACAAGGGCATTATGGGCGGCGTGAGGTTGTTAGAAAGCACATCACGCCGAGTGTAAAAACTCCGGTTAATGCTTTTTGCTCCTTGAGAGAAAACAACATTACGGCGGAGCGTGCGCTCTCGCGAGAGCGGGCTGTGGGGCGTTCAGGGACCTCAGTGGAAAATCGGCCATTTTTTTCTCTGGGTGAAAAATGCATTATTGAAAAACGGCCCTTTCTGTGTCAGCCCCCCATGGGTCAAACTTCCTTTTATGGAGGGTTTGACGGCGGAGTGGGCCACCAGGGAGTATCACAGCTTTATAGCTACAGCTCCACAGCTGATGGCACATTCCCTAACACAATGTTATGGGGAATGGAAAAACAGTTGTGTGTTAACAGAGTGGATGGACAGGACACTGAGGCTGGGTTATTCACTCCAGTTCCACAGCATCCCTCCTCCATTCAGAGGCATAAGAGAGGCAAATCTGTCATCCCAGGAGGAGATAGGTTTCCTCTCAGCAGAGGTTCAGGCCCTGGTGCAGAAACAGGCGGTGTCTGTGGTGCACCCTCAAGACAGAGAGAAGGGGCATTATTCCCTGTATTTTCTGGTTCCCAAGAAACAGGAGAATTCAGGCCCATTTTGGATCTTCGAGGCCTGAACCGGCACATTACATGCAGAAAATTCCACATGCTGACTATGAAACAGGTGTTGGAGCTGGTGCGGCCGGGCGATTGGTTTACAACCATCGACCTGAAGGACGCTTACTTTCATGTCGAAATTGCCCCGAA